ATGAAATTGAGCAGGTAAATCTGGAAAAGCTTTTTGTATATGAGTGAGTAAAATCTCAGTGAAAGATTATTCAGAGAGGTGGGCCTGCTGATCTCCAGTTTTCAGAATTCAAACCGTGAGAAAATGAGCACTTGCTGCAGCACACAGACTACACCATCAGTGGTTAAGTGGGATATTGTGTGCCTTTGGATGCATTCCGACCCACGGCAACCCAAAGGGACAGCATAGAACGGCCCTTTTGGGCTTTCTAGGGAGCTCTGGTGCCTGATGGGTAAGGAGTTTTGGCTGCCAATCCAAAAGCAGGTGGTTGGAGTCTACCAGCTGCTCTGCAGGAGAAAGCTGGACAGTTTCCTGTGCAGTTTGAAACCTCCAAACACTCACTGGAGGGTCAGCTATGAGTTGGTTCCAACTCGACGGCGGTGAGTCTTTTGAGCGGTACAGGGTGGTTTTCTTCTAGGTTGTAATCATTATGCCTTCCTTTTCTCCCTCAGAGAGTCTAAGTGAGTTAAAACTGCCAGTCTCTCGGTTAACAGCCAAGCACCTGTGTTGTCAAGATGCTTAACAGAGGATGATGATGTTCTTGTTGTTAAGTGCCTTCCAGTTGAGTGCAACTCACAGCAACCCTGTGAACAGCACATCAGAACTTGCCCTGTCGTGTACCACCCTCATCCTCTCAGCTATGCTTAAGTCATTGTGGTAATCACTGTGCCAATCAATCCATCCCATTGAGGCCTGCAATATCAACAAGGGTTTAGTTTAACTGCCTCTGACAGGAACACTCAAAATAGTTGGCTTAAACAAGATGGAAGACCACGTAGAAGACCTGACCTGGGAAGTCCACTGCTGGTGTGTCACTTCAGGCTCCTTCCAGTCACTGCTTCTGTGCCTGGGATGTGACCTTCATCCTCAGGGCCCAGAATGATGCTGGGGCTCCAGCCCTCACATCTCAACTCAGAAGTCCCACCAACACTGTTTATCCTTCCATGGCCAGAACTTAGCCCTGAGGAGACATTACCAAATACTCTCTTTTATTTGTACAGCCACTTGCCCACCTAGAAATAGGGGTTCTGAGAGACAGGGTAGGATCTTTGTACCTAGAGAAAGGTCGTACTTTTCATCTCGAGGTATTAATTTGTCAAGTGAATAGTGTTATGTCTGGTATGTGCAGACGTTACTTCTAGGGCAGTGGTAAAGAAAGCAGAGGAGGTTCCACTTTCGTAGAACTTAACAGTCTAGCCATATAGACAATAAACTGGCAGTAGAGGTGACTGGTTGACAATCAACAGTCTATATTCGGGTCTTTCCCAAGAGCTGCCGTCAAGTGTAACACGCACACAATTAATAGCCTCTGCAGATAGTGGCAAGAAGCTAAGCATCGCAGGCAGTCAACATCAGCATCTCTGTGACCTAATGCAGTTCGTGGGCTCTCCAGAGTGCCCGCTGTGTACAGGGCAGTGGGAGAAGAGGAAGAAGTAGCAGCTGGTACCCAGAGCCCCACCGTGAAAGTGGTCCCTAAGTCTTTCCACAGACAGAGCCCTCAGAACATCCACAGAAAGAGCAGACAGTAAGAACCCAGTGGTAAAACCCAAGTCTGTTTTCATCTTATATGGTGGGGTAATATTAGGGGCCCTGTTACTGCTGAGTGAAGCAGTGAGATGAGCAATTTGTGGTCCTGGATGCTTTTGGAGGGCAAGCTGAGGGACCTGGGAAACACAGGGATGATTTGAGGGTCACGGCCTCTTACTGCTCACTTTATGTGAGCCTTGGTGAGCAGTTTCTGGGCCTGGTTTTGCTGGGAACCAGGCTGAAGTCCAAGGTTCAGCTCACGTGTTTTTAAGTGGGCATGGTTCTAAATTAATAAACCTGGAAAGACACAATTGTCCACCTGAACTCGCTGCCCTGTGCAGAGATGTGCAGGGGCCAGGGATTCCCAGACCAGCTGTTTATGACGTTAAGTTTCCATTACCAATCAGGCGTAAAAACCAAATATTAGAAAATGGAAGTAAAAAATATATGCAAAATATCAACTCTGATTTCTATTGTTAGATTCAAGAGACACAAAATTAATTGCTCTGTCATATTGTTCTAAGAGTTTCGAAAGGATAAGTCTACACCTTGCACAGACATATCCTGTTTTAATGTATTTTGCTTTATTGTGTTTTGTAGGCATTTAAATTTTTTGTTCCTTTCCTGCGCTATTTGAAGGTTTGTAACAATCCTGCTTCAAACATGTACCAGCATGTACAAGTCTGTTGGTCCATTTCTCCAGCATGTGCTCACTTCCTGTCTCTGTGTTGTATTTTGGTGATTCTTATTAAATACTTTTTCTTAATTGTATTGCATACTTTGGGAGTGCTAATGGCTTAGTTGTAAGGAGTTGCGCTAGCCCTTCAATGGGAGGCAGTTCAAATCCACCAGCTGCTCCATGGGAGAAAGATGGGTATTATCCTCCCATGTAATTTATTGTCTCTGAAAACCCACTGAGGGTCGGCTAACAGTCGTTTCTAACTTGATGCTTCTTAACAACAAATTTTATTCTTGGAAAGCTTTGGTAGCCTAGTGGGTAAGGTGTTGAGTGGCCAACCCAAAGAGACATGATGTGAATCCACCAACTTTTTGAGAGAAATGTGGCAGCCTTTTCTTGTTTGATTTACAGTCTGTGAAAACCCACTGGAGGGTCAGCTATGAGTTGGTTCAGACTCAGCAGCAGTGAAAGAGAGAGATTGCATGCTTAATAAGTTCTAATATAGTATTCACATAGCTTTTTTATGTACTTCTTATGACTCTGAGAAGAATGGGAATCCCAGAACACTTGATCATGCTAATGCGAGACCTATACTTGGACCAAGAGGCAGTTGTCAGAACGGAACAAGAAAACACTGCATGGTTCAAAATTGGGAAGGGTGTATGCCAGGGAGGTGTCCTGTCTCCATATCTTTTCAACCTGTATGCAGAGCAGATTATCTGGGAGGCTGGGCTCTATGAGCAGTGTGGTGTCAGGACTGATGGAAGATCTATCAACAATCTGTGTTATACAGATGACACAACCCTGCTTGCTGAAACTGAGGAGGACCTGAAGTGCTTGCTGCAGTGGGTCAAGGACTACAGCCTTCAATATGGATTAAGGCTCAATATCAAGAAGACAAAGATTCTTACCACAGGGCCAATTAGCAGCATCAGGATGGATGGTGAAGAGATTGAAATTGTTCACAGCTTTAGTTTGCTTGGCTCCACAGCCAACACTCTTGGCACCAGTAGCCAGGAAATTAAAGACATATTGCGATGTGAAAGTCTGCTGTTAGGGACCTCTCCAAAGTACTGAAGAGCAATGGTGTCACTCTAGAGACTTAGGTGTGTCTGATACAGGCCATGGTCTTTGCAATCACTTGTTATGTGTCAGGGAGTTGGACAATGACTAGGAAGGATAGAAGGAGAATTGATGCCTTTGACCTGTGGTGTTGGAGAAGAGTATTGAATATACCATGGACTGCTAAGAAAATGAACAGGTTCATCTTGGAGAGGGTTAAACCAGGCTCCTCCTTGGAGGCAAGGATTCTGAGGCTCTGTCTAACATACTTTGAACATGTTGTAAGGAGGGACCGGTCCCATGCTTGGGAGGGTGGAGGGACAGAGCAGGAAGGGAAGACCCTCTCTGAGGTGGATTGATTCAGTGACTGGGTAATCGGGGTGGTTGTGTCAGTGACAGTGCAATTGGCACAGGACAGAGCAGGGTTTAGGGCTGTTGTGCATAGAGTTGCAAGTGACTAGATGGCACCTAACAACAACAACAACAATTATATACCGTAGAATCAGAACCAACCCATAGCTGACCCTCGGTTGGGTTTTCAGAGGCAGTTAATTACACGGGAGGAGGTTGCCCATCTTTCTCCCATGGAGCAGCTAGTGGCTTCGACATAATTCTTCAGAATTACAATGCAACTTTTTGCCATGAGGCCACCAGTACATAGAAACAAAAAAAAATCATGTGACTCACTTTATTGCTACATTTGCTTTATTGCGTCATCTCTAAAACTCACCTGTACTTGAGTGTGCCACGAGTGAAGAATCCATGAGCCTAGGGACTATACTTTGGGCAGCACAACCCAAGAAGGCTAAGACCACGCCAACTAGGGCCTGCCATCCATCCAAGCCACACCTCCCCTGTGGAGAAAGCAACCAGCCTGGAAGACGGGCCTCATAGCTCCAGACATTTCTTGGTTTGTTGCTCCCCTAACCCTGCTTTGCCCAACTTCCCATGTGGTTTTGTGAGCTTTTCATTTTTCTGTGGTAATAGAAATACCTATACCAAAAATTTCACCGTCTGAGCCATTTTTCAGTCTATAGTGCAGTGACATTAGTTACATTGACTATACGGTGCAGCCATCATCACCATCTACTTCCAGATCATTTTCATCACCCCAGACAGAAACCTTTCATCTACAGTGACTCTCCCCAATCCTCCTCCCTGTGGGGCCCCCACCAGCAAACTTCATGCATTTGCCTCTTTTATGTGAGGGCATATGGAATTTCTTTCTATTTTATTTCATTTAGCATAATACTGTCATATGTGTGAACCACACTGTAGCATGTATCAGAATTTTACTCCTGTTTTGCCAAATGCTGTTCCATTCCATGTTCTGTTGATTCAAGTCATCTGTTGATAGACATTGAGGTTGTTTCTGCCTGTTGGCTATTGTGAATAATGCACACTGATATCCCCATGTTCTTAACCAATATCTGACTGGAATGGTAAGAGGAACAGCTTGGTCATATCTCCTGTCATTGTCTCCATGTTCATGTGGAAATTTTATTATACACTGGCAGCCAGAGAACTGAAAGTTCACAGCTAACTGTAATCATTATCCAGGCTTCCCTACCTGGACACAGCGTTCAGTCTATACTGGTTTGATTATCAGTGCAGCCAACAGAGAGGTGGGCAGCCGTGTCCACGGGCTGGCCTGGCCTGGCAGGGTGAGGTCACTGTCCTTTCTTCGTTGCAGTTCTCCAAGGAGAGGCACACCATGGACAGGACCCCTGAGAGACTGAAGAAGGAACTGGAGGAAGAGCTGTTACTAAGCAGTGAGGACCTGCGCAGCCACGCCTGGTACCACGGTCGCATCCCCCGAAAGGTACCTACTATCCTCCCCTGCAAGCGCGCACACTGGCCATGGCCAGGTTCATGACACTGCAGACACGTTCCAGATCACACGGGAACCCGTGTTTACCCAGAAACAAACACTGCTAAGTGGCCTGCAATGACTTCAGTGGGACTCGTGAGAGGAGTGAGGGTCAGGAATCCATAGTACGTTTCCACACCCTCAGTGAGTGGATAAAGGAGAAGCCGGGCCCCCTGTGGTCTGCAGACAGTCCCAGCAGGCAGCAGCCGCAGCCTGGTAGCCAAGGGAAGCAGGAGGTCAGGGCGGGGTTCCTATAATGGAGCCTTGGCGGGCTGTCTACAGCCTCATGCCTGCAGGAGCCAGCTTCCTTTCAAGTTAAGGCAGGGGCTTAATTCCAGGTGAAGAGAGGGCATCAGAGGGGCAGACAGAATAGAGCATCAGAGCCACCTCTGCCCTATTGAGGCCAATGGCTTATTCATTCTCTCCTTTCCTTCCCTACCTGACACCCGGCCCATAAGTGGGAAAACAGGAAGAATTGTCCCAGTGACCACTGACCATGCATGGCCTAGAAGTGTACTTTGGGTGCCTTTCACTCAGGTCTTTACCATGAACAATAACTGTGTGTATGTGGTTTCTTCTACCCCCGCCCCCCAATAATATTAGAAATTGAAGATGGAGTAAGCTCACAGGATTGAGATGCAGAATTTACCTGGGGCTTTTATTGTAAGCCTGATCTAGCCAATAATTAATCCGGTACAATGAGACAGTGAGGGGTGTGTGGAGACGCAGGAAAGGGCATCGTGTTATAAATCATCGTTAAGGTAACAGACTTCTTGGTGCTGTCACAGAAATAATTTTTCATTCTGGCCCTGTTCTGTTGTTGTTTTCTTTTTCAAGATTGAAATTTATCATTGAAAACACAGAGAGCAAAATCTAAAACAAGAAAAATAAGCTCCAACTTCTAATTCTCCCTCCTGGAGATAGCCATGATGAGCTGCTTGGTATTTATCCTCCTAGGCTTTTCGACATCAATTATGAAATCATACTGCATATTCTTTTTCCCACCTCTCCCTCCCCTTCTTTTATATTGTGGTAAACATATCGATCAGATAACATTTACCATCTCAACAGTCTTCACATGGATAGTTCAGTAACTTTAAATATATTCACTGCATAATCTTTTCTGTGGTCTAGTTCCATCATTTAATGATACATCCTGGGAATGTTTTCTTCTTGAAAAAGTACTTTTCTGCACCATTCTATATTGTACACACGATTACTGTGTTCGTATGCGACCATTTATTGGGCATTGGTGAGGTCTCTAACACCCCATCATCTTTCAAGATAACATTTATATCTATTCCTATAATTATTTCATTAGGCTAAATTCCAAGAAATAGAATTTCTGGGAGAAAACATATTTTTAAGGCAGGATGCAGTTTTAAAGTAACCATGGTAGCATACTGGTCTATGGTAACAGAGATATATACTACTGCCTAAATGTTAGAATGCCCTGAAAAAAAAATTGTCAAATTTAAAATTTCAAAGTTTATTTTTTATTCTCATGATCATAAGATTTTTTTCCAGTTATCATTAACATAAATTTCTGCCTACACAGTATTTTATACTGTATGACTGGACTCTATATAATTGTTAACAGCTAACACTGTGTTCCTTTGAATTTTTCAAGCCACATTATGGGTAATATTAATATCCTCATTCTACTGATGATATAACTGAGCCACAAAGAGGTTGTATAATGTGTCCCACAGTCGAGCCAGAATGCAAACCCAAGTGGTCTGGTTACATAACAACTGTGCTACACTCCAGCATCAATTCTCCTTTGACTATTAACATCACCACCATCATCAACTCATAGATAATCATTCTAGTCTGGTTTTGTGCTCCTGTTATGTTCCATGCATTGTACTGGATGCTTTGCGTGTATCATGCAATATAATCCACACAGCAACTCTGAGGTGAGGGGACAACTGACTTGCCCCAGGCCCTGCAGTGGGTGAACAGTGTAGTCAAAATCCACGTGTGAGTTTCTGATCCACATAGAGTCCTGAGCTCCCCCACATGTGGCACCCGCCACCCCATCAGCCAGGCCTGGAGAGGGGAGTTTCAGGGGAGGGTTACAGGACTCCTTGTAGATTCCATCCAGCAGTCTACTTATTGAGGAGGAGCAGTCAGACCCTCCAGGCACACATGGCTCCAGAGTTGGGGCATCTGTTGCTTTACTTCATTCAGGTCTTTGCATAAATGTCATCTTCCTAGGACATCTTCTTTGACCACTCTGTTTAAAAAGACACTCTCTAACATCTTCCCAAGCACTTCCTGTCTGCTCTCCAGTTGACTTTTCCTTTGCCTCTACAATACCTGGCATTCTATACAATTTAATTTCATTTTAAAATAGAAGCTCTCTGCTAGCGACAAACACCCAGTGAAAGTTGGGACCCAGTGCTTAAACCAGTGCTGGAAACACAGTTGTTGTTGTTGTTGTTGTTGCTGTTGTTGTTATATGCCTTCAAGTTAGAACTGACTCATAGCTGCCATCCTTCTCCCTCCAAGCCTCTAGTGGATTTGAACTACATGCCTTTAGGTTGGCAGCATGGCTCCTTACCACTAGGCCACCACAGCTCCCATTAGGTGGTTAAAAAAATAGTTCTTAAGCAAATCACCAATATGAATTGAGGCTCAATGTCAAGAAGACAAAGATTCTCACCACTGGACCAATTGGCAGCATCAGGATGGATGGTGAAGAGATTGAGATTGTACACAGCTTTAGTTTGTTTGGCTCCATAGTCAACACTCTTGGCACCAGTAGCCAGGAAATTAAAAGGCGCATTGCCATGGGAAAGTCTGCTGTTAGGGACCTCTCCAAAGTAAACTGAAGAGCAATGGTGTCTCTCCGGAGACTGAGGTGCGTTTGATACAGGCCATAGTCTTCACAATCACTTGTTATGCATCAGAGAGTTGGACAATGACCATGGAGGATAGAAGGAGAATTGATGCCTTTGAGCTGTGGTGCTGGAGAAGAGTATTGAGAGTAACCTGGACTGCTAGGAAAACAAACAGATTTGTCCTGGAAAGGGTTGAACTAGGTGGCTCCTTGGAGGCAAGGATTCTGAGGCTCCATCTAACATACTTTGGACATGTTGTGAGAAGAGACTGGTCCTTGGAGAAGGACATCATGCATGGGAGGGTGGAGGGAAAGCGCAGGAGGAGAAGGCCCTCTATGAGGTGGATTGATTCAGTGACTGGGGTAATCAGGATGAGAGTGTCAGAGACAGTGCGATTGGCACAGGACAGAACAGAGTTTAGGGCTGTTGTACATAGGGTCGCTATGAGTTGCAAGTGACTTGATGGCACATAACAACAACAACAACAAGCAAATTACCAGTTTTCTTATGAATTTTACATTTGGAAAAATAAAGAACCATCTTAAGAATAACCATGAATAAAAAACAAACAAACAAACAAAAAGCAAACAAACCATGAATACAATGCCTTGTGTCCATCTAGAAAAGTGGGTAGCAGGGAACTCTGTAAAGTAGTAGGCTTGACTACTTACTACTGTAGGCTTGACTTCCCCGCTCCTCATTCACTGTTTTGTCCTCCAGGTATCAGAGAACCTCCTGCAGCGAGATGGGGACTTCCTGGTGCGTGACTCGCTGTCCAGCCCTGGCAACTTTGTCTTGACCTGTCAGTGGAAGAACCTCCCTCAGCACTTCAAGATCATCCAGACGGTGCTTCGGCTGAGCGAGGCCTACAGCCGCGTGCAGTACCAGTTTGAGATGGAGAGCTTCGACTCCATCCCTGGCCTCGTGCGCTGCTATGTAGGCAACCGCCGGCCCATCTCACAGCAGAGTGGGGCCATCATCTTCCAGCCCATCAACCGGACGGTGCCCCTGCGGTGCCTGGAGGAGCTCTATAGCCCGTCCTCGGGCCGGGCCTCTGAGGGCAGTCCCACCGAGGGCCGGCCAGAGCTGGCCAAGCGCCTCAGCCTCTCCATGGGCTCTCAGGGGCGAGAGCAGAGCTTGACCAGGGGAAACCTCCTCAGGTGAGTCTGCCTTGGTGTCAGGACTATGAAGGGCCTTGTGGGAGTGCCCAAGATTGGCAGATGAGGAGCTCTCCTGGGAGGAGCTCACCTGGAAGCAGGGACGTGATGACAGAAATTGAAAAAAATTCAGTGTGTCTCACCTTGTCATGAGGCAGTATATGACTTGTTCCCAGTTGAGTTGTGCAACGAATAAATGGTGCAGAAGCTGAGGCAAAGGAGGCCAGGTCATAGGGGAGATTTTGTGAAGGAGGTGGAGCAGAGCTGTGCTGAAAACTAGGGAAATTTTGCCTAGAAGCTACAAAGGGGAAGATGATCTGTGGGAAGGTCCCAGTACAAGTATGGAAGACAGGAAAGGGCAGAGGAGTTTGGGGTGAGTGAACCAGAGTAAGGGAGGGGGAAGGGCAGGTAGCCCTAACCTGATCCTGAAGACTTTAATGCCAAGCTGTCATATCTCGGTTGAAATCACTTGTTGAAGGGTGTGAGGGAACCTCGAAGACTTGGCTTGGTGAGTGTCATGGTCTGAGAATAACAGCAATGGACAGAGAAAGAGGAGGCAGGGAACCTATTCATGATCACAGGGTCCAGGCTGAGAGAGGGATGAGGAATGAGGTGAGGGGGTGCTGGGAACACCCAGGACTCTTCTGTATGTGCAGACAGTAGGGAATCAGACACCTAGGCGCCCAGAGGGGGAGGACTTGGAGGAAAAGCAGTAGTTTCATCGGAGCTATGACAGTTGGTTTACTTAGGGCCAGTGTCCAGCAATGTTGGAGTTCAGGTGGTGGTTAGAACTGAAGAATTTGATTAAGACTTAGTCTGTATGGAAAGATTGAATCATGAAAACAGATGATATTTCTAAGATACATGCTGTAGCAAGCTCGACAGAAGCTGCATGAGGAATGACAGTTCAGAGAACTGGGAACAAAACCAGGGCCTGTCACATCACAGCCTTCACGCTGCTGGTCAAGATCAGTGATGGTGCTATATTATCCTAGAGTCTGTCTGTCACAAAGGAGCCCTTGTAGCCTTGTAGCTCAAGTGTTGGACTGTTAACCAAGAGGTCAAGAGTTTAAACCCACCAGTGGCACCACAGGAGAAAGATGAGGCAGTCAGCTCCTAGTAACATTTATAGCCTCAGAAACTCGGTGGAGGGTGGTCATGAGTTGGAACTGACCTCCTGGCGGTGGCTCTGGTTTTTGGTTTTGTCTTTCCTGGGAAATCCCTGGATGACAGGAACAGTGGTGTAAATGGTGCTTAGCTGTCAATTAAAAGATTGGTTGTTTGAGACCAACAAGAAGTACTTCTGAAGAAAAATCTAGCATATCTTCTTTGCTAAGCCAACCGTTGAAACTCTGTGGACATGCATAGGGTTACCATTAGCCTGACATGCACAGGGTCACCGTTGATTGGAATCAACTATTTGGCGATTGGTTAAAGGTTCTTAGGTGGTATAACCAACTAACTGCTCTGTGGGGAAAAGACAGGCAGTCACTTCCTGGGCAATTTACAGTCTGAAAACTCGCTGGAGAGTCAGCTATGAGTCATTTCCAACTCTACAACCCATAACAACAAAGTGGTCTAAACACTTTTTATTGACCACTAACCTACTGTAAAACCCTTAGCATGTAATAAGCCCAGCCACCCCAGGGTAGTGCTGTGTTCCATGATGATTTTCAATGTCTTCTTTTTTGAAAGTACAGCACCATGCCTGCCTTCCAAGGCACCCTACCCGGAGACCCCATCTCTCTCTCTCTCATTGCTGTCAAGTTGGCACCCTCCATTGGGTTTCTGAGGCTGTTGTCACACAGGAAGAAACTGCCCATCTTTATTCCAAAAAGCCACTGGTGGATTAATACCAGCCTTTGAGTTAGCAGGGCAACTTCCTACCTACAACTCCCTACAGAGCACCAGTGTTCCTTTGCTGTTGTCATTATGTCCCGTCAAGTTGCAACTGACCCATAGCTGACCCTCCAGCAGGTTTTCTGAGGCAGTAAATCACACAGGAGGAGACTGCCTATCCTTCTCCCTGAGAGCAGGTGGTGGATTCTAATGGAGTGTCTTTGGGATGGAGCACAGCTCCTTACCAGTGGGCCACCAGAGTGTCCATATTGTTAGGTAAATGTTAATAATTTCTTATCTGGAGGGTAGTAGAAGGTTAAACTCAGGACAGAGGCAAGAACTGATGTTTAGAAGTTCTCCCTTTCATAGCAATAAGATTGACCTTGTGATATATTGGACTTAAACAATAATATAAAAGGTAGTCCTAAAAAAAAAAAAAAAAAAAAAGGTAGTCCTTTCCTACTGTTTCTTTGCGGAGTAGGGGTTGGCTGTCCAGAATTGCAGTAGGGCATTAAGAACATGAATTTCTGAGCCAGAAGGTGAAGAGTGATACAGGATGTATCACTGTAGCGGGACTGGTGCAGAGAAGGGCAGCCTCTGGAAGGCAGTGTGGTGTTTCCTCAGAAAGCTGAACATAGAAATTCTGTATGACCCAGCTATTCCACTGCTTGGAACATACACCGAGAAAATGAGCACTGTGGCACAGAGACTTGTAAACCAGTATTCATAGCAGCGTTATTCAGCAGTTACATGGAAAGAGCCTAAATGTCCAACCACAGTAGTATGGATTGAGAAATTATAGTACATTCACATAATATAATACAATACTATGCAGCACACAGGAGCAATGATTTGTGAAGGATTGGAGAGCATGATGCTACTTGAACTAACTCAGTCTCATAAAGACAAATACTGGGTAAGACCGTTATTGTAGAATGAGTACAAGGATCCAAGGCGAGGGGGGGGGGGGGGGTTAATCATAGGGTCGCACAATCTGATGGTGGAGGGATGAGTGGGGAAAGGAAAGGGGAAAGATCCGGTGCGGAAAACAATGTATATCATCTTTATGAACTTTGTAAGTAAACCAGTATAAAATTAGAAAAAAAAAGATAGATAAAGAATGAATGACCCCAGAAGTAGAGGAGACATTCCTAAGAGAACCACCTCTTCGGTGACTCCTTGAAAAGTAGAGCAGGCAGCCTAGGAATGTCTCAGGGTGGTGGAGGAGTGGGCTCCGGGACACTGGTGTCCCCACTGCCTGGCACCGGCCCACTGCCCTTGTGTGGCTCTGCACGTCAGCGCTCTGGCCTCAGGGCACCTGGCCACCGCCTGACGTCAGGCCCCCGGATTGGCTGGCTGCTGGCAGCCCTGAGGCAGGTGTGCTCTGACTCAGTCAGGTTGCATTCCAGGCCCTAAGGTTCTGGGCTGGTGGAGGCTAACCGTCTGTGTTGGTCACTGCTTAAATATCCCTGCTCAGAAGCCATTTCCTTTTGGAATTTGCCGTCTCAGCTGAACACAGAAGGGTTGCTGGAATTTCTCAGTTGCTGGGAGTTTGGGTTTTTGCTCTTTTTTTTTTTTTCTCTGTTGCTTGCAAAGGTAGGAAAGAGCGTTCCCATTTCTGTAACGAATGACTGTTTCAAGGTTGTTGGAGGGCCAATTAAAGTTCATAACAACTTTACTGGAGCAGTGCTTTCTCCTGTAGCAAGAGAGTGCTGCTAGGTGCTAGTTAGAGAACGTCTCAGAAGTGGAAGGGGGACAGGAATAATGGCAAATGTATGGAAACGGAGTTGCTGTCAGCCTTTTCCCTGCCAGGTTGGGCACTGTGTCCCAGTTGCTGCTTATTGATCACTCTGGCACCCCCTGCTCATCAGGGGAGGGCGCATGAGTCCTTCAAGTGCGGCCTGGAGTACAGATGTGCCCCCTTTCTGGGTGAGCCTGTGGGTTATCTGGGGGATGCTGAGATTTGCACTGAAAGGGAAATAGCCTCACAGCTTCCTTGCTGAGTCGGGCAATTATGGCACTGTGGAGCCATTGTGGGAAACGCATGTTAGTTAACCAAGTCATTCCCCTTGCGTCTGCAAGTAATTTTAGGCTCCGTTAAAGTCCACATTCCAGTTCATCAGATTTTCCTGAGAGCATAGTAAAACTTTTACCCTGCTCTGTTCGCAAGGATGGGAAGGCTCAGAGGAGGTATCCTGAGGCTTAACGGGATTGGTCATGGGGAATTGGGGATGGAGCCCGCTGCAAAATCCTATTATTAATCACCCCCATCATTCTTTTCCTCCTCCAGTAGACATTCCTTTACTGTTAGGGTATGCTGTAGCATTCTTACTGTGAGTAATTGTTTTAACTTTCCATGACGCTGCCTAAAAACTTTATGCTTTAATGACAAGTTTCTGCTCTGTTTGCCTTTCGCTTCAGAAATAAAGAGAAGAGTGGAAGCCAGCCTGCCTTCCTGGATCACATGCAGGACAAAAGAACCTTATACCTCAAAGCCCACCAGTCGGAAAGTTACCTGCCAATTGGTATGTCAGGGGATTTTGGGGAAGGAAGACAGTGTGACCCGGATTTCTTCCAGACTCTTTCTCAGCTCCATTGAGTCACCTGATTTTAAAGCGATATTAGGTTCCATGCCTGCAGGCTGGAGGGAGAGGTTTTGTAGAGTTATTTCCAGATGGGAAGCCCTGAGAGCTGGATGCTTTATGTATGCTCACAGCTAAGCCTCAGAACAAGCTTCATGGAGCCCAGAGTTTACCCCATTTTACAGCAAAAACAAACTAACACAGAGAGGTTAAGTGACATGACCAGTGTCACTCAGCTGGTGAGTGACAGAGCCAGCATTTAAACTTAGATTTTCCAATTCTAAGCCCATCGGCTGAGTCTTTGTGACCAGTGAGCCTGCTCTCATAGTGCCCTTCCTGGGCAGAGGGGAGGGGGACTTGTGGAAGAGCAGCTAGCCATAGACCACCAACCCCTGTAATGGAATGAAGGCATATACAGTGTGGGGACTATCTGACAAGCAATTAAATTAGTAGGACAGTGAGTGGTTTTCATTATTTTTATAACTGACCTTGGGATCACAACGAGGTTTTTCTAATGCTACTTTATAAACTACTGCTTTTAAACTTCTATGTGAGTTAACTCATAGTCTTCTTCTCCTTTCTCTGTCTCTGTTGTTGTTTTTTTTATGTGCTGTCAAGTCAGAACTAACTGACCCTCTAGTGGATTTTCAGAGGCTATAAATTGCCCATCTTTCTCCAGCAGAGCAGCTGGTGGATTTGAACCGCGTGTCTTTGGGTTCGTAGCGCAGCACCTTACCCACCTGGCCGTCTGAGCTCTGGTCACTCTCTTTACCTCTTTCTTTATCCAGGATTCATTTTAGCCTTTATATACTATGTGGCTAGTCATCTTAACTTCTCAAATATCAGATTATTCACTGTGTTCTCCATTCTAACTGAGCCAATCTTCTGTGACCATCAAATGACATTATAACCCAGCTGTCTCAGTCACTGGTATTTAGAGCTGACCCAGAAGTGGGATGGGACTAATTAGACTTCTCCATTGCTCTGAATTGGGTGTGGAGGAATAAGAATTTTCTTTTAGGAGTGAAAATTGAAACTCAAAGCACAACTTGAGGGTGGGTGGTCTGTCACTCTGATTTTGTGGTCTCATCACAGCTGAGCTCTTTCTATCCTCTCCTGTCTTTTGTAGGCTGTAAGCTTCCCTCTCAGTCATCTGTTGTGGACACAAGCTCATACCCAAACTCCCCTGCATTCAGGACGGGCAGCGAACCCACCCTGAGCCCAGCACTGGTTCGGAGGGTCTCCTCGGATGCAAGGGCAGGAGAGGCCCTGAGGGGTTCAGATAGCCAGCTGTGCCCCAAGCCGCCCCCTAAGCCTTGCAAAGTACCCTTGCTCAAAGCACCCCAGTCTCCATCCACTTGGCTCAACTCAGAGGCCCACTACTGTGAACTGAACCCCGCTTTTGCCACAAGCTGCGACAGGGCAGGAAAGCCGCCCTTATGTGCCCGGAGCAGCTCCCCAGCACTGCTAACAGCCAGGCAGAATGGGACCATGGGACCCCGCAACTCTGGCACCAATTACTTGATCCTTGATGAAGATGATGGAGTAAGACCTCAGGAGCCGGCAGCAGCACAGGACAAGGTACAGGAGGACAAGGGCGAGTTTGTGAAGCCCCTCCTGGAGACTGTGTCCTCGTTCAGGCCCAATGAGTTTGAGTCCAAGTTCCTTCCTCCTGAGAACAAGCCCCTGGAAACAACATTGCTGAAACGTGCCAAAGAACTGTTCACCAACAATGACCCCAAGGTGATCGCCCAGCACATGCTCCTCATGGACTGCAAGGTAAAGAAACGCCCTCGGGCCTGGTTTTGCTCTGGCTTCAAGACACTTAGGAAAGGCGTCTTTCTGGGCCTCGCTCAGCCTTACCCTCTGAGCACTTCACTCATGGGAAAAGTCTGAAGATAACATGGGTGTGGGGATTTATTTAAGGGGTGGAACCACAGGCCAGGACAGCCTTCACCCAGGCAGGAAGCCTGTGAAGTTCACACTGGACAGAGGGTGCACCTGCTGCAAACACACACACACGCACATACATACACACACACTTTTGAGTCAGGAGCAGTGAGTGGATCCTTCTACCTGGTGCTTATTTTAAAATCCCTTCCCCTCCCCATGCACCCCCTATAGCTCCTTCAGAACAAATAAAGCTGATTCCAAAGGACAGCACTTGATTGTAGGTGAAAGGATAAGTTCTGGACTAGTGGAACTTTGTTGATGTTTATTTTTATTATATATATTTAATTTTTATTGTTTTGAAAAATGATCTCTAGTGTAAATTAAACATTTTTAAAAATTATTTTGATATTTCAAAGTAGGAAATACTGGTTCCACTTAGACAAATCATATAAAGAAAAGGAATCACGTAAAATCTGATGGTAACTATGATTAACATTTTGGCGTGTTCAGAAATATTGTACATATTACAGATAGGTTCATATAAACAATTGCATGCTTGTATGCAGAAATAGTGTCAGATCATATATAGTGTTCCAATCCCTGAGTCTTTCGTTGAACTGCCTTTCCATATAAGTCAATATATGTTTAGATCACCATCACTTTTAGTAGGAAGCATTTCATTTAGATGTAGATGGCTCTATTCATCGGTGGCTCCAGGGTGAAGTCATTCTTTGGAGAGATGGTTCTAGATAGCCAACATCTCAGGCTGAGGTGGATGCAGTGAGGCCTTTGAGCGACAGGTCAGGGCTTGTGTGTTGTCACTTGCGTTAAAATTCACAGCACGCACACATTGCAAAGCATAACATTGCAGAGCATAACTGCCTGTATGCTATAATCTTTATGGCAACAGATTGCCATGTCTTGTCTCCTACAGAGCAGCTGCTGGGCTTGAACCACTGTCCTTTCTGTTAATAGCCAAGTGCTTAGCCATTGTGCCACCTGCACTCAGATCAGGCCGTGCAGTTAGAGGTTACTGGGTCAGCTCTGATTTATAATGACCTGTGTACAATTTAAGAATGAATCCTTGCCTGATCAAGTACCCTCCTCAAAATCAATGCTGTGCTTAAACCCATTGTTGAACTCACTGTGTCAGTCTATCTTGTTGAGAGTCTCTTCTTTTTCACTGAGCTTTAAGTCCCTTTTACAGTTGTTGTTGTTGTTATGTGCTGTTGAGTCACCTACAACTCATAGCGACCCTATGTATAACAGCCCTAAACCCACTCTATCCTGTGCCAATCGCACTATCTCTGACACACCTACCCCCATTACCCCAGTCACTGAATCAATCCATCACATCGAGGGTCTTCCTCTCTTGCACTGTCCCTCCACCCTCCCAAGCTGAATGTCCTTCTCCAAGGACTGATCCTGCCTTGAGACATGTCCAAAGTATGTCGAACGGAGCTTCAGAATCCTTGCCTCCAAGGAGCAGCCTGACTTCACCCTCTACAGGACGAACTTGTTTGTTCTAGCTCAGTTAATTAGCTTCAAAAGTCAAAGATCATTCAGGAACTGGGTTTTCCTTCCTGGGTGATGATTCATGACAGGAAGTCCAGTCTTTGAGCATTTTCTCAGGGAGGTCCCTGGGGATCAAGGGCTCAAAGGGAGGGGGCCTAGGGCCTAGAAGCCTATTCAGGGTGGGGGGACGTCGTGGACTGAAGTTGCAGTTGTTCTAGAACAAGGACTTAAAGGACAACTTAGAAGCTGGTTTATCTGGTCCACACCTGGGGTGGCAGGGAATCAGCCAGCAGGCCTGGGAAGGGATCAGGGCAGGGATTGTCCACATGGTTGATTGGTGTCCTTGGGCAGGGCTTCCAAGTAGGAGCTCCCAAGGTCAGGACATTTGCCATGGTAAAATACTTACCTTACATTACAATGAGCTAAACCCCTGAAAAAGGAAGTCGTGTTTGGTAGAGCTGAAGGTCAACAAAAAAGAAGATGCTCGGTGATATAGATTGGCACAGTGGCTGAAACAATGGACTTAAGCGTAGCAGTGACTGGGAAGATGGCACAGGACTGTGAAGTATTTTGTTCTGTTGTACATATGGTGCAGGATAGGACAAGGTTCAGTTCTTTTGTTCGTAGGGTCACTGAGTCATAGACAACTTGATGGTACCAACATGAGTTGGAACCAAGTCAATGGTACTTAACAACAGCAAGTCTGCATGGGTGGTGAGAGGACTGAGGATAACTCTGCCAGTGAGCAAACTCTCCAGGTCTAGCCTAGTATGACCTGCGGTCTCACTCATTGCAGAAACATGGGCCTGGGTTTCTGAAACAGTGCAATTTCTGAGACTTGGAGGGATGAACTTGTCATTCTTCCTTCTGGCACAAGGAAGAGATCAGATGTGCCTACTTTCCACAGGAGAGCCAGGAGCCTTCCCACCTCCTTTGGCATGTGGGAAGCCAGAGCCCTGGCCTGTCCCTCTGAGGTCCTTTGTCCTCTTGGTGGGGCCTCTCTCTCCAGGTTACCTGGGAGAACTCTGGGTCAAGGGGCTGAAAGTGGAGTTTGCAGGTGTCAAAGCAGAGCTGGGAGTCTCAGTCAGAGCAGCTGGACCCTGCCCTCTCCACCCACCAAGGGCAGGGCTGTGTCTGTTCTTCCTTCTTCCTCCCTTTTCAGTCCACGACCATTTCCTTACTCTCTTCCTGGAACCACTGGCTTTGCTAGTAACTAGCTTCTCTAAAAGGGTAATAAAATCAGGACTGTTCCCACCACAAATATAACCCAGACAGGGTCACCGGGAGCCTAGATCAGGCAGACAGAGGAGCCTCTGGGCCCTGTATGTCATTTCTGCCTTGTACTGAGCCCAGAAAGGTCATCAGGACAGCAGGTGGCACTGAGAGTGCCTGGAACCGCAGCTGGCTAGAGCCAGGGCTGGGCTGGGTTGTCCACTGAAGCTTTACAAATGGGTTTCCCTCACCCAGTTCCCAGAGTGCCATTCATTCCCCCAGCCACTTGTCTTTCCTCATAGGAGCCAGGCCCTGTGGTTAAGAGCTTGCTGTCTGGGTTTGAACTGCCTGAGTGAGAATTCCACCTCTACCACAAGGCTCCAGTGCTTTGAGAAAATGATTTTATTTTTAACCTTTCTCTTCCCACCTTGTTATAAAACCAGATAAACAACACTGGCTCCTTGGAGTGGTTGTGAGGATTGAGGGCGATAATATGCTAGCCCCTGATGTTTATGTATGTAAATGTTTATTTGCTTTTTGTGTTTTATTTTGACTGGGAACCTACTGTGCATCAACGGGCTTCACATCCATTCAGAAGGTTGCTATGAGTCGTACTTGACTGATAGCATCTATGAGCAACAACAGTGGTCCAGTGGTTAAGTGTTCAGATGCAAACCAACAGGTTGGCAGGTCAGATCTGCCAGTGGCTCTGAGGAAGAAAGATGTGAGTTTTGAATAATAACAGATGTGCTGGGAGCTGGGCCATGGCTCTGCCCTATAGATGCTGCCTGGGGTGAGGTTAGGGTTAGACCGGGGCGAGGATGCAGTGGTTCAGGTGGATGTCTACTGATTCCGAAACCACACTGTCTAGGGGCGCATGCTTTGCTGGAGAACACAGGGGCTATGGGGCCAGTGAGGAGGCAGGGCCCTCACTGGGTCCGGTGGCATGTCTGAGATGAGTCTTGAAGGCTGAGTAAGAGTCAGCTGGATGAAGACTGGGGTATATTCACAGAGTGTGTGTCAGACATAGCTCAGTTACCTTGGCCCCTTTATTCTGTGCAGAGAGGGAGGAGGGGCTAAGAGAAGGCCACCGCTCTTTCCTTTGGTGTTGTTAAGTTCCAGTTTCTAGGCTGATGTCAGATTCCTGTCTTCAAAACACTTTACAGTCCAGAGAGGGAGACAGCCCGCAAATCCCAGAGGTGGGTGGGAGGGACAGTGAGAAGGCCAGGCAATCCCCCTCATGTTTCAGAAGGCTCATGGGCAGCAGGAAGTCATGGCCCACAGTGAGCCAGGCCTCTATCAAGGCCCTCTTTGCAGCAGCCCCTGAGGCAGTGGGATGTGGAGCGAACAGAGCTAAGGTTTGGTGAGCAGGGGTAAGCTGGAAGGCTACTTTGGGTGGCATTTCTTCTGCCCTGCACATAGTATCAGATGCTCAGAAGTATCAGCCCTTCATACAATCTGTGAGCCCTACAGACTTGAGCATTTCTGGGGGTCTTAATTCAGGCCTTAAAGTTTGAACTCAGGGAGCTCTGGTGGCCTAGTGGCAGGAAACTGCATTGCAATCTCAAAGGCAAGTGGTTCAAATCTGCCAGCTGCTCGGCGGGAGAAAGAAGGGCAATCTCAGACCCGCCAGAGGGTCAGCCGTAGGTCGGTTCTGACTCTCTGGTACACAACAGTTTGAGCTCAGGGCCTCTTGTGAAGTTCAGAGCTGTCCCAGGAACGTGACTGGGGGACTCTTGTCTACACTTGAAAAACTGCAACAAACCAACCCAGAAGGGGACCTCTCTGAGCAGGATCATAGAATGTCTGTGAGAGCCTCCAGAACAAAATGAGGTGAATGAAACTCCTTGCAAACTCCTCACACAAGAGTGTGTGTTGACTGTAGGACGCCCCGCAAAGGCACTGGGTTTCATGCCTCTGATGGAGGGCAGCTGTCTAAACAAGGGAGGTCTGTGTGGCCACCGGTGGCAGGCGTACACTGGGCAGGCATGTCAGAGTCAAGGTGTAAATCTCTTTCGCAGGGTTGAGTTAGAATCTTCCCCCTTCCTCATGGCCTGTGCACAGCTTGTGTGTACAGACAGCTTGTAGAGTCCTTGAGGCCATCTGCCCCTTTGCAAAGTCCTTGAAAAAGGTGAACTGAGCGGCTGTGGTGGAGAAGGGGGAAAGTGAGGCTCAGAGAGCATAGCTGAGATCACAGAGTGAATGCCAGTTCCCGTCCTGGGCTCTGTCACATGGATAGCTAGTTCCCCCCACTCCCCTCCCCACCCTGCTCCCCAGCCATTGCCCATGGTTGGCTGGAGTTCCTGTTCTCGGTCACAGAAGTTAGGGGTCAGGGTTAATTAATACCATTAAACTACCAGATGTTTTTGGTGGTCCATTATGAAGACATCTGGATAGCTCATATCCCAGGGCTAATTATAGTCTGGAGAACAACCCACCAGGTGGTGGACGATCGTCCCCCCATGCTGGTGAGGCCCTTGTATCTGTGAGTTGCCTTTTTACATCAGGGACGTGGAGAGGCATCCTTGGCCCCCTCACAGAAAGCTGCAGAGATCCAGCTGTAACTATAAAGTGTGATTACAAAGGAGAATGGAATGGGGTGACAGAGAATATAATTGGGAGAGAAGCAAACACATATTTTTCTTTAAGGACAAGGTCTCAGAAGAGTGTATATCATATGCACTGAGACCTTAGCTTTCAAACCACTATATACGTTTTTAATAGTTTCCAGACGCCTGGTGTATTTCCTGAGCCCAGGAGAGGCGTAATTAAGGGTAATGGCAGCCAGCCGTGGCTGTTAAGTGAGAACATGAATGGCGAAGTCCACAGTAGAGGGAAGCTTGGCGTGTTTCCTCTTCTCGTCCGCAGGGGGTCATGGGCTCCACACACACGCAGCCCTGCTGCCGGCAGCAAAGCAGCGCAGCGGGATCCAACCTGAGCAGACAAAGGCTCAGGGAACTCTGAGCTGTTCGCCGGCTGGGCAAAAACACTCAGCAAATCTACAGGGCCTACAAACCAATACAGGGTTTCCCCTTCTTGAGTCTGTCTTTTTATAACCCTGGGTTTTAGATTCCAGTATGGGCATTCAAATCCTCCAAGTATGAAACGATATTTTCAGATGCTACTGCTCTAAAAAAAAAAAAAATCCAAACCAAACAACAACACAACTTTAAAATATAAATAAGTGCAACAAGTACAGTGAGTCTACACAGCTCCAGCTTAGGATCTTTTTATTGCGTTCTAAATTAATGGTCACAGCAGGCCTACTTCCTGACGTGTATATTTGAACCTTTGTTCCTGACAGGTTGCTAGGATACTGGAGGTCTCTGAAGAGATGCAGAGGAAAATGGGTGTGAGCTCAGGCCTCGAGCTCATTACCTTGCCCTTCGGACACCAGCTGCGCCTGGACATAATTGAAAGGTGAGCATTCCTGTCTCCCGCACACCAGGCCCTTTGGGCTCCTCAGCAGAGCAGCAGGTTTTTAGAGGGGGACAGAGGCACATCACTCAAAGGCACTTTCCCCTGAAGCCTTCACGGGAGAATTCCTGGAGATGTATAAAGGCACTCGGCAGAGGAAGTCAAGGAACAAAGAATACATTCCTGTCCCTGCTCCATGAGAGACCAAGCAGAGAGAACAGCCATTGTCCCAGGCCAGGCACGATGAGACCATGTTTAAAGAATGCTCAAATCTGACCAGTCTAGGGCAGGAACAGGGGTTAGTGGGCAGATGGACACTCTAAGGGCTTCTTCCTTCTTAAGCTGCAGCACCTTTGTCCCTTCAGAATTTAAAAATGCTTTAGGGATTAAATGTGCATTTATGAGAAAGGAGAGAGTCCAGATGTTTTCCTGGGGGGAGGGTTGTTGCAGAGACAATCGTGGGGTTCAAAGACCAGGGGACACTTTGCCTGTGGGTGCTTTCATGCACACAGCCCCCACTTTCTTCTCATGAAAAGTCAGGATGCTAGGAGTCCATTAAAACACACAAGCATGAGAGGGATTCTTAGGTACGAGGAACCGTCTACGGCCATACCGCCCTGAACGTGCCCAATCTCGTCTGATCTCAGAAGCTAAGCAGGGTCGGGCCTGGTTAGTACTTGGATGGGAGGAATGAGAAACCGGTGGCAAGTTATAAAAGAAAGACAGATACTGACGTCTTAGAGCACCATGGATCAAAAAGTGACAGTTGACTTGAGGACTGACTACCTCGTCATCTGAGGTTTTCATCCTAACAATTTTCTGCTCGTCATGATTGACCGCTCATGGCTTTCCAGGATGGTCTAGGCGACAGCACTGCCTGACACAATTTCGGTGCTGGCAGAAATGCCTTATCTGTGCTGGCCACTGTGGTCACCCCCAGCCCCATGCAGCTGTTGAGCATTTGAAATAGGACTCATGAGACTCAACACCAAAGTGTTTATTTCACTTTTTTTTTGTTTTGTTTAAATAGCCACACATGGCTAAAGGCTGTCTCAGTCATAGGATGTCAGCCCCTGGAAAGTAAACATGGTCTTTCAGATACCACCACGTGGTAGAGGGGACAGTATGATACAGGCGCTCTTGAGGATAGTGCCAAGCAGATTTAGGTAAGACACTGCAATGCTGCAGTTTCTCTGGCTTCAGAGCCACAGAGACATCCCTCCAAAAACACCAGGATGTGGAGTCAAAGGCTTCTAGAGGAGAGAGCTTAATACTGTATAGTGCCACTGTTGTAAAATGGGACTGACAGTCGGGGGTGGGGGGAGACTGAGAAAGATGGGATATATTATATATACTGTATTGAAACAGATGAGGAAGAGAACTGTTTAAAAGGGATCTGTGACTAGGTATTATTGTCATGACAGGAGTCCAGAACGAAGGCTGCATAGTGGAGTGGACTTGGGGGGAGGGATTGAATAACAATGAAAGAATTTTTCTTTTACTTTTCAAAGAGAAGTGTGAACTGCCAGGGTTGGGGGCATGGGGGGAGGGAGGGAGAAAAGTGCAACAATGAATAAATGGAAATTCAAAGTCCCTCTAAACGGTCATTAAAATGAATAATATTTAAAAAAAAAAAAAGAAGCATCTGCACTGACGGTTCAGTGGCCATTGGGTGGATCCCAGCTCCTGTGATACAGAGTAGAATTGCTCCATAGCTGTCCAAGGCTGTTGGAAGCCGATTGCAAAGCCTTTGGGGAATTAGAGGCCTTACTTCTGAATTTCCTCCTCTTCCTGGTCAGACTTTTCTAGATTCTCTCTGGGCACCCCTACCTCCCCACACACCAGGGGCGGGGCTCTTCAGCTCCAGTAACTTCTGCGGTGTCGGGGCTGAGTCATCACCATTTCCTAAAAGATGAGCCGTGCCGCCACACTTCCCCACTCTCCACATGACGCCCGTCACCCTGAAACCCCCTGTGTTCCAGGCCCGCCTGAGCCAAACCTCAATTTATCAGCATCACCTCGTGCGCTGGGGTGGGCCCAGGGCAAAGGTGTGCAGCCCTGTCAGCAGCAGTTCCTCCTCCTCCTCCTGATTGCTGCTTGACTAGGACCTGCCTCCTCCACAGCTTATCTCCAGCCCAAGCAAGAGTCGAGGGAGTGGTTTTATTGATTATAATTTATCAACTAAATGGAGTCCAGGGTGGTATGGGTCTTCAGGTGTTAAATGAACATCACTTTGTGTTGAAATCACATACAAACCACCTTCTTCCCTAACATACTAACCTCCCCCATTTCAAGCACTTGGAACAGGAGACCTCTCCTAGCATTGTGTACCTACCTTGTGTTACCTCGTGGAAGGCCCCACTTGAAAGGCTCCGTGTGTGGCCCCTGGGTGAGCGCACATCAAGCTCTATCCCGCAGGGGTGCACATGGGAGTTTTACACTGATGCTGGTTGAATGAGTAGATAGAATTACCAATTTGACCGCATTCATAACCCCAGGCTTTAAAGAACAAGTTGAGAACCTGCCTTATATTAAGAGCCACTAAAACACAGGGGAAAAAATAGGAAACAATGAATGGCTCAGCTGAGTGAAACATGTATAGAAGAGTCTATCTTTAGTTAAGAGACTTTAAAGCATTTCATTCAATGTTAGATATTTTGAAAATGACTGACAAAACTCTTTAGTAAATACAGCAGATAAAAATACATAATTGTGTTGCAAGTGTGCATACACATTTTAGGTCTGTATTATCTATCATTGAGAAAGGCAAGAAAAGAAAGACTTAAGACCTTGGTGGCACAGTGGATATGCACTTAGGTGCCAACCAGAGATTGCCCTTTCAGACCCACCAGCGGCTCCTTGGGAGACCCACATGATCTACTTCCACAGAGACGACCACCTTGAGATCCCTGCAGGGCAGTTCTACTCCGTGCTTTAGGGTCACTGTGAATCGGAATCAGCTCAAGGCAGTGAGCTCTTTTAATAGGAGAGACATGCACACTTGTAGCAACAGTGGACAGGTGTGTTTGCCAGTGCCAGATGCTCTATTTTTAGCTACCCGCACAATCTCTCTCACAGTCACCCTCATTCCCATTTTACAGATGAAGACGCTTGAGGAGTGGGGAAGCTAGGGAACCTGCATATGAAAACATGCCCAGAAACTGCAGAGCGTAATGCTCATTATATATTTAATAAAGAGAGAAACCAGTCATGCTAGGCACTGGTTGAATTGCAGCCCCCCCCCCACCCCACATCCTACCCCTCACAACCAAGGAGAGGGAGTGCAGGCACGCAGCACACCTTGGCCATGAGAGAGGCATATCAAGAACTTTAGTGACGATATGGCCATTGGGTTTCAAAAGTGTGCTGTAGTTTACAGTAGCTATGAATTGGTGCTTTGTCCCCAGCATTAGTACCACAGCCTGGAAGAAACTTAGCTGATCCTGGCATAGTGTTGTGAACTCCCCAGCTGATTTACAGTGGGAAGGAGAGGGGTTGTCATCTACACTGTCGGCACCCCCCCAAAGGAGACTGCTCTCCGACCCCATTAATATTAGTCCCATTGTCCTGTAGAGAAAAGCTCACCCTGCTTCCTGTCCTGGGTCTGTGGGGGTGATCCATGCAGTTCAGAATGAGAAAAGGGAGGATTGTTGGCAATGAAGTCTAGATTTTATTAGGGTCTGGTGGTTCAGACACATCCCTGTCAGCTATTCAGCCTTTGTCTGCATCTCCACTCACTTTATGGCCTCTTGACCAGGAAGCAGTCACCCCATCCTCAGCTTGGCTCTCTTTCCTTTGTTCTCATACCCCACCATCTTCCTGGACCTGGTGTCTCCCCTTCACTGCCTGGTCCTGGGGGCTCAGTGGAGTGGGCCAGGGGAAGAGCCAGGAGTGTGCATGTTGGGGGCCTGGTGTCACCATGGTGGGGGTGTAAGGAGGCATGTGCACTCTGAGCAGCTCCTCCCACAAGGGTCCTCCTTGTGGGCCGAGTCTAGGCTTGCATGTGGCCCTGTCATGGTCATTTCGACTCTGCACAGTGGCTCTGTTACAGCCGCCTGGTGGCAGACGGTCTCTGGGTAGAAGCCAGTCACTGGAACCTTGGGACCTTCTATCTCTCATCAGGGTGTGAGCTGCATATAGTGCACATAGCCCTGTTCTGGTCAGTTTGGCCTCTGACCAGTTTAGTTTTCTCTCCACCCCTGGCCCTGACCACTGATCTCCCCTCTCAGACACAACACCATGGCGATCGGCATTGCAGTGGACATTCTGGGCTGCACGAGCAGCTTGGAGGACCGAGCGGCCACTCTCAATAAGATCATCCAGGTGGCGGTGGAGCTGAAGGACTCCATGGGAGACCTGTATTCCTTCTCAGCCATCATGAAAGCCTTGGAGATGCCACAGGTACGTGACCACTGGCTTGGTGCAGCCCTGACGCCTATGCAGGGTGACCTTCCTGCAGATGCCTGCGAGTGTCCCCTTATCAAGTCACAGACTAGTCCATCTTGAAAGGCAAATTGGATCTTAATGAATATTGCTTCGATTGTGGGGCAACTAAGAGGAGTGCGGTCTGGCTAGGTATCATGGCTCTGCTTTTAAAAACAGTGAGCATCAGGAGCAATGATACAATAAAATATTACATAACATGAGAGATGCTGAGTGAACTAACTCAGGCTCATAAGGACAAATATTGCATACATCCATTATGGTAAAATCAGAAGGATAACTAGTAAGATGTGTATAAATGTTCAAAGGGGGGAAGATGGAGCAGGAATCACAGGTGGGAAGGAAATGATTTTTTTTAAAGAAAGTTTATTTAAAAAAACAAAGTTCAAACAAAACGTGTATGAATAATTGGACGTTGTTATGTGCCATTGAGTTGCTTGCAGCTCATAGTGACCCTGTGTACAAGAGCCCTAAACCCTGCTCTAGCCTGTGTTAACCTCACTGGCTCTGATACACTTATTCCCATTACCCCAATCATTGGATCGATCCATTTCATCAAGGGTCTTCCTCTCTTGCACTGTCCCTCCACCCTCCCAAACGTGATAACCAAATTGCTTTGTAAACTTTCATGCAAATTCCAATCATTTAAAAAACTTCAAAACAGTGGCAGTGAATTGCCGGCAGCCCATATACTGTCTGTGACATACAAGAGGAGTCGTCCTGGAGAACGAGATCGTTGTCCCTGAGAACCCATCAGGATAACACGTAGAGTATGTTGCATGAGACTGTTTCCCTCCTGATCGTCAGGCAGGCGGCTTTGGGGAATGATTGGGAAACAGAGACAAGGAAGGGGTTTGATGAGAATCCTAGAGTGGCCTACCTTAATGTATGATCCTCAGGTCACCTAGAATGGACTTTCCCGCTAAAGATTATTCCGATTCCTGGCCCACTTGCCATTTAACTCACTAAATCTCATGTCAAGTCTGTTCTGATTCCATGGCTCTACAGAGCAGAGCTGCCCCTTGGGGAGGCTGCAGGCTTCATGAGAGCAGCCTGTCACGTCTCTCCCATAGGATGGCTGGTGGGTGTGGTCAGCATTTAATCACTGTGCCACCAGAGCTCCTTACACTACTTGTCATATCTGTCTCTGACTCATCGCTGACCCTTCAGTGGGTTTTCGAAGGCTGTAAACCCCACGGGAGGAGGTCAGTCATTTTTCTGCCATGGAGCTGCTACTGGTGCATCTGAACTGGTAGAGGCTCTGCCCTGGGTTAGCAACTCCCTGCACACTGTGTGTCCAGAGGCCCCTGATATCCTGGTACAAAACCCAACTCACAGCGGGCAAGGAGATTCGAACTCATGATGACCCTCCCTCAGGCTTCTGAACCTATAAATCTTAATGGGAGAAGACTGCCTCCTCTTTTTCCATGGAGCAGCTAGTGGATCCAAACCACTGACCATTTGGTTAGCAGCTCAATATGCAACCTGGTATGCCACCAGGCCTCCACAGATCCCTGTGTGACACGCTCTCATTAATTTTATTATAGTTTCTTAAGTCATGCTTTTATATGTATCTGCTTAGATAGGTAAGAGTGAAACAAGAATGAAACTAGTATTTGAAAGCAAATGGGTCTCCCAGAAGAAAGTCTGTTCAGCTGTCGTATTGCTCACAGTCAGCTCTTCTGCTCCGAGGCTCTGGGGACTTGAGGACAGGATTGCAGTCCTGCAGGCTGAATCCGTAGACACTGACTCCAAAACCACTGGCCACTGTGCTTAGCTGTTTCCTGTTCCCACACTGCACCTGGAATCCTGCCGCGGGAAGACAGCTAGAGCCATGCTGTGCAAGTCAGAGCACGTGGCGAGCCATTTTCCTACAGAAAGAAAGGCCTCTTACACACAAAAGGAATCACTTACTGCCTTTTTGGGGGGGGAGTCAGTTCCAACTATAATATCATATTCCAAAAGCCTGTTAACTTTCAAAATTCTTTAGATGTCTTGGAATTTTGTAGAATCAGTATTTGGTATAAATAACCTATCAATACAGCACTATTCTCATGATACAGAGATTTCTGCTATCATAAGATGATAATCAAGCATGCTATGTTTTATTCAAGTATTACAGTTTTTATCACATTTACTTCTTACTCTCTCTAACTGCCAATCATGCCCTGGGCTGAGCCAGCAGCAGGCCAGGCTGACTCTGCAGGCTTCCAGCCCAGAGCTCCCCATGAGGAGGAGCCGGGGGAACATTATGTAGAATCACTTTGCGGCTACCATCCATAACGTCACACTCAGTGGCTGGGGACTCAGGCCAAACCACCTTTGTAGGTGGTTCCCTTTGACAGCCTCAGATTCTTCTTTCTCCAGTTCTGCAGGATATTCAAGTCCTGAGGTGAGCCAGGGTGCTCACAGGGGAGGGAAGTGGGAAAGCAAAGGTACGTGGTTTCCAGACGTCATCGTGCACCCCACGCACTACAGCCACGTGCGCTTCCTTCTGCTCCACTTCTTGTAAGGAGAGAGCGAGCAGCAAGGAGATGGGCCTTCAGGGGCACAAAGGGCCTCTTTCAGAGAGGAGGAAGCTGCTGCAAGGAGAGGGCAGGAGAAGAGGGCAGTGTGCGAGGGGCCAGAGAGAGACCAGCCAGCCTGTTCCTCCGTAAGTCTGCAGGTGCTGACACCTTCTCACCTTTTTTGTTGGCACACGTGGGGAGTTGCTAGAGGCCCAGGAAATGGGCCAGCTCTGGTGGCCTAGTGGATAGGAAGGTGTGCTGCCAACCCAAAGGTGGCTGGTTTGTATCCACAGCTGCTCTGTGGGAGAGAGATGGGCAGTCTCCTCCCGTGCAGTTCACAGCCCCTGAAAACTCCCTGGAAGGTCAGCTATGAGTTGGCACTGACTTCGAGATTCTGCCACACATCAACTGTGACACTTTGGGCAAAAGTTATCTTTTTTTTTTCTACTTCCCTGTAAAATGGGCTCAAATACCTGCCTTAAAGGGTTTTTGAAAGGATATGAAGTACCTGGTGCCAAGCTGGCTCACTCTCTGAATATTAATGCCCTTCCTTGTTGCCAGGAGATGTAGGGCACCTGCTAATTTTATGGTGTGAGGGGGGATCACAGTCAGCTGCCTATGCTGGTGTTGATGGAGGCATCCAAAAAGGAATGAAAACAAATGTGGATTGGCATCATAGGGCCTGGACAGTCCTCCATGTGTCATGGACATTACTTCTTTAAACTGACATGGAAGGGTTTACATCAGCTCATGGGGAGGATAGTTGGCGACGCCCATTAACGTTTGAAGTGCACGTAGTCCAGGTACCTGTACACAAGGGCCACTGGCAGTGCTCGACTGTGATTCTGTAATAGCAAAATCGGTGTAGAGTTTATGTGTATAGAAGACTGATTTATCCTTAAAGAAGCACTCTGCAGGCACTGAACAAATCAAAGTTGTTCCACATGTACTAAAGGGAATAACTTCCAGACACGGAATAGCAAACTAAGTATAATACGGCGTGTATGACCTATAGCAGGTGAAACCAGGCTGCTCCTTGGAGGCAAGGATTTTGGTGCTTCATCTCACATACTTTGAGTGTGTTGCCAGTAGGGACAAGTCCTTAGAGGAGGATATCTTTCTTGGAGGGGTGGAGGGACAGCACAGGAGAGGAAGACCCTGGATGAGATGGATTGACACACACACAGTGACTATGCCGGTAGGGCCAGCTGCGTCAGACACAGTGAGGTTGGCTCAGGACAGGGCAGGGTTCAGAGCCACTGTTTGTAGGGACACTATGAAACATAGTCGACTTGAAGACACATAAGAGCAACAATGAGCGTGCACAGATCCATACATATACACATACAAGAAACTGATGAGGCGTGATCTCTGGCCCAGGCCATGAGAGGAGGGCAGGAAGGTATTGGGGGTAGCTTTTCTATGTAGCTTTCAAAATTCTTTGAGCCAATTTTACATTTCTTCTTTGTCCATTTATCACTTAACCTGAACTTTAAGCAAAAAGTGAATTTTGAAAAGAACCTCTCCCTGGAACGCTCAAACCTTGTTTACTTCCAGATCACAAGGTTAGAGAAAACGTGGACGGCCCTGCGGCACCAGTACACCCAGACCGCCATCCTCTACGAGAAGCACCTGAAGCCCTTCCGCAAACTCCTGCATGAAAGTCAAGGTGAGCGCGTCCGGTCACATCTGTCCAGGCTGGAGCGAGGCATTGTGGCAGGCCGGTGAGGAGCCCGGGCTTGTCTGCAGGCTTGCCGAGGGGGTCACCAGGCGTCCCCCCACATTACTCTCTGCAGGTTTGCAGTGGCTGAAACAAGATACTGGCTGCCAGGTGCCTCATTCTGTGCTTAACTTTGAGCAAAATAGGATACAAGACACTTTTCTCCTCGTTTTTCAGAGTGCACGTGTGTCCCCTCAAGCAACGTAGCAGTCCCGCCACTGATGCCCTTTGTGACCTTAATGGAACGTCAGGTTGTCACTTTTGAAGGGACTGACATGTGGGAAAAAAGTGACCAGAGCTGTGCCATCATGCTGAACCATCTGGCAACAGGTCGGCACATGGCAGAGACTGCTGACAGCTACCGGCTGAACGCTGAGAGGATCCTGGAAGGTGAGAGGCGTTTTTTAAGCTGGTCTTTATAACTTACAAGAAATGACAGAATAAGAGAGTGTGGGTGTCCTTGTTTAGGAAAAGCCCATGGTAGGAAAGATGAAGCATGGGTGTTCCATCTCCTAATGATGGCTGTTATCTCCTCTTTATGCCTAGAGGACTCAGATCTCCGGTTTTCCCTTTCTTCTGTGTCTCCTGTGTCAGTAGTGCAGAGTAGAGAGAAAGGTCAAGACAGAATGGGTTAACTTGCCTTCAGATAGGAAGGGCATGGGGCCAACACCAGGAGTTGGGCCTCATTTCCTGCATCCCTGGTCCCTCCCAGATGAGGTGATAAGTGAGCTCCCTGTGCAGACTGTCGCACAAACGGACTTCAAGTCCTTTGACAACAGAACCAACTCCCTCTACTTGTAAACCCTTCTCAGAATACTCTGAGCGGAATCTCCACCTTCTGTTTTCTGGCTGCCACTTCTTAACAATCAAAAGGAAGTCGTTCCCTGGTGCCTCCTCTTGGCCTGCATCTCACCAATGCAGTTTCTTTTCCTAAGTGCTCCCACCCCACACGCCTCCATGTGCAGAAATGCTGCCTAGGAGCTCCTCAAACATATTCAATGAAAAGCGTGACCCAGGATAGCCGAGGAAGTTGGAGAAAGAAGGTGGATACAGCACAGCAAAGGTCCTTCTGGGAAACAATGGCTGAGGAAGAACAGCCAGCAGTTTCCAGGCAGGGCATCACATGGTCAGATTTATGCTTTGAAGTAAATTACTGTGGTGTCTGTGTGGAAGGCTGGGGGACTGAAGGCAAAAAGACCACTCAGGAAGCAATGATGGGAATGAGTGCTTCAATAAGGCAGTCATCAGGTTTGGCTGTTTTCTCTTCCTCATTATATAATTTAAAAAAAAATTTCTCAAGAGCCCACAGTTTGACTCATAAGAACTATATATAGGGCAAGGAAGGCCTATTTATTCCACTTCTAAAAGATGCTGCATCAGAACCAGAACATGGAGACTGAAAAAAGTCAGCCCTCTATCTTCTGAAGACGTAAGCATCACATACCTGTTTAATTTTTTTCCTCTCCAGGGTTGGCAGTGTGGGCCCCAAGCAATAGAACAGAATTCAGTTCAGCAGACATTAGAATATGTACTTCCACAAAGCCAGTATATCACATTGGATGTTGCATAAGCCAGTGCATTAGGGTGGCTTTTGAGGTCTACTTAAGCTATTTTAAGCTCTTCTCTAGTCAATCACTTTAAAGTCTCTGACGGTGTCTCTCTCTGAATGAATCCTGCTACAGTACAAGATATACAGCAAGTCCGCAGTGCAGGGAATGACTGTGATCCAGTAAGGACAGACCTTTGCTAACCAGCATGTCCCCAGTGTCCAGCCCAGGACAGGGGCCTGAGTGAAAGTAGTCTGCCCTGTGGTTGCATGTCTGTCACGGATACTCTGGCATCAGGGGGGTTGGGGGTAACGGGACTAGGGAGTCTCTAATGTCCTCTAAAGCACTGTGATCTAGTGGGAAACCCACTGTTGTTAGGTAACATCAAATCAACTATCACTTAGAGTGACCCTGTAAACAGATCTGAGCATTGGCCTGTCTTGTGCCATCCTCACGATCTCTGATATACTCGAGCCCATTGTTATTTTCTGTCAGTCTGTCTTGCTGAGGGTCTTCATTTTTCTTTGATGACCTTTCCCAGCATGGTCTCTTTTCCCAAGGCCTGATCCTTCCTGACAACATACCAAATTTCACCCTTCTTACCCTAAGGACCACTTTGGTTGTACTTCCTCCAAGACAGATTTGATTTTCTGGTAGTCTGTGGGATATTCTGTGCTTGTCTCCAGTACCACAATTCAATTCCTCGATCATCCTTTTTCATTGTCCAGCTGTCAGATGCATAGAGAACAATGGAAAGACCATGGATTGTATGGGTATTTTAGGCTTGAAGCTGACATCAGTGCTGACATCACTTTGGAGAGGTCCTTGACAACACATTTTCCCAGAGTAACACATTGCTACGACTCGATGGCACTTAACAACAACAACACATCTTTTGATTTTTTAAATTTTCTTCGCTGTTATTACCATGAGGGTTGATTGTGGATCCAATGAAAATTAAATTGTTAACATCCTCAGTCTTCTCTTTGTCTATCATGACATTGTCTTTTGGTCCAGTGGTGAGAACTTTTGTTTTATTGATGAGATGTAATCCAGACAGAAGAATAAGATCTTCTGTAGTAAGTGTTTCCACTCCCCTTCATATTCAACAAGCCAAGTTGTGTTATCTTTATAATGCAGGTTATTGATGAGTCTTCCTTCAATCCTGCTGCCACATTCTTCTCAATACAGACCTGCTTCTTAAATGTTCTGCTCAACAGTTCCATGATACATCTTCAAGGATATGAACATGTACAGCTAAGCACAATTGATAACAGTGCATCTAAATTACAAAATCAATCTCCACAATAGTCTACGTGTTTCCTATTGCCAAAGGGGCCCTTTTCAGCAGGAAGTAGCTAAGAGAATACGCCATCCCCTTTTCCGTATGAATCAGGGTGAAGTCTCTCTCAGGGAGGAGTGATAGGGAATGGCAAAGGACACACTGACAAAGGAGATTAATCAGAACTGGCTTTGACAAGCACTGTGGCAATGGGACAATTAAAACGGACTTCTTTGGGGGGGAAGGAGGAACGAACTGGGGGGGTGAGGGTAGAGAAAATAGTGCAACAGTGAATGAATGGAAACCCAAAATCTCTGTAAATGTTGATTAAAATTAATAAAATTTAGTTTAAAAAATGTTCTGCTTAGCATACAAACTGAATAGGTATGGAGAAAGAATACAAACCTGACACTCCCTGATTTTAAACCATGCAGTGTTTCTTGTTCTGTTCAGGTAATAGCTTCTTGGGGTTTTGCATGACTACAAGCAAGTATTCTTGGATTCTCATTCCTCAGTAATTTGTTATAATCGACACAGTCAAATGTCTTTGCATAGTTATTAAAGCACAAGTAAACATCTTTCTGGTATTCTCTACTTTCAGCCTAGATCCATCTGCCATTAGCGGTGATGTCCCGCATGCCACAGAATTTCTGGCAGGCCTTATCAATGCACTGTTCCATGCATTTAAAAATAATCTTCAGCAAGGTTGTATTTATATGAGATATTAATGACACTGATCATTTTCACATTCTATTGGATCACCTTTCTTGGAAATGAAAACAATATAGATCTCTTCTGGACAGTTAGCCATGTAGCAGCAGTCTTCCAAATTTGACATAGCCTAGTGAGCACATCCAAGGGCTACATCTGATTCCTGAAACGTGTCAATTGGTATATCATCAACTGCTGGGGCATTTGTTCTTGATCATATGCTATTTCTTGAAATGGTTCTGTTTTGACCAATTCCTTTTTTGGTACAGTGACTCTGTGTATTCTTTCCATTTTCTTTTGAGACTCCTACATCATTCTAGATTTTGCCCACATACTCCATCAGTATTTCAGCAAGGCTTGAATTTCCTCTTGAGTTCTTTCAGCTTGAGAAAGGCCGAGCATGCTCTTCTCCTTTGGTTTTCTAACTCCAACTCTTTCCACATTTCATTATAATACTTTGCTTTGTTTCCTTGAGTTGCACCTTGAAATCTCCTGTTCCTCTCTTTTACTTCAGGATTTCTTCTATTTTTCCCTCCTTACATTCTAGAGCAATTTTTAGTCTCTCTGACATCTATTTCTTTTATTTCTCCCCTTTGCAATTACCTTTTTCTTTATGAATCATAACATGCTTGATGTTATCCCACAACTCCTCTAGTCTTCAGTTAATAGTTTGTAGTGCATCAAATGTACTCTTGGTTTTTAAAATCAGGTGGGATAGATGTAAAGCTATATTTTGGTTCTTGTTTTAATTTTCTTCAAATTTAGTTTGAATTTACACATAAGTGCAAGTTCTCTTCCACTATGAGCCCTGGCCTTGTTTTGATTTCGTATGTTTGGGGTTTTTTTAAAGGGTATTTACAATAGATAAATCATTAATGACAGAAAAATCTACTCTAGAACTAATAAAGAATAAGAATAATATCGTCTTATGGCTCTTTGGCTAGAAGTTTCCCCTCCTCAATATAGTTGTCTGGGTGTTTCTTGGCTTTTTGAAGATGTGGTAAACGAAATCTTCTTTTAGGTGGAATAAAATAAAAGTTAAGAAATAGACTCCCACATATTATTGTTAATTGTTTTTAAAAAATACCTAGGAAATTCACTGGATAAAGTAGACTTTTCAAAGGTGGTTGGTGCTGGTACAACTGGAAATCCACATGCAAAACAGAAATACTGATCCTTACTTCAAGTATGAAGTTAATAATGAATCCAAAATAAATCATAATTTGAAAACACAAGTGCTAAAGTACAAAATGTCTATAAGAAAGAAAAATAAAAATTTTTTGTCTTTGGATTAAGACACAATTTCTTAGGACAAAAAAAGTAAGTAATGTAACAGAAAAATATAGACAAATCAAAATGAACATGTTAAAGCAAGCTATAGTCTGAGAGAAAATATTTGCTAAGAAGTACCTGATAAAGGGCTTATATCCAGAACATCGAAGGAACTCTTACAATTCAATAATGAGAAACCAAACGATCTGAATAGACAAAATATATGAAGACACTACATTAAAGGAGATAAAAGACATACAAATACAGGAAAGATGTTCAGCATTATTATTGTTATGTGCCGTCAAGTCACTTGAGACTCAAAGCGTCCCTCTGTACAACAGCTCTGAACCCTGCTCCATCCTGAGCCAACTTTATTGTCTCTGACGTACCTATACCGTGACTCTAGTTACTGAGTCAATCCATCTCATCAAGGGTCTTCCTCTTGCACTGTCCTTCCACCTTCCCAAGCATGACGTCCCTCTCCCAGGACTGGTCCCTCCTTGCAACATGTTCAAAGTATGTGAGACAGAGCTTCAGAATCCTTGCCTCCAAGGAGCAACCTGGTTTCACCATCTCTAGGATGAACCTGTTTTTTCTCCTAGAGTCCATGATCTATTCAATACTCTTCTCCAGCACCACAGCTCAAAATTATCAATTCTCCTTCTGTCATCCCTAGTCATTGCCCAACTCTCTAATGTATAGCAAGTAACTGCGAAGACAATGGCCTGGATCAGGCACACTTCATTAGAAAAATGTAAAATAAATCACAATGATATACCACTATGCATTCACTGCAGTTAAAAAGAAAGGCAATAATACTAAGTATTCATAGCATGTAAAGAAATTGTCGTTTGCTGGTGGTGGGAGTTTTGACAGTTTCTTTAAAAGTTAAACATATTCACCATAAATCCATTGTACTGATGCAGACTCAGAAAGCAGGGTGCCCTCCTGGATAGAGTAGAACATTCTGGTCAGGTTTCCAAGGCCAAGACCTTTATGGAAGCAGACTGCCACAACTTCCTCTCTTGAAGTGGCAATAAACTAATAAGAAAAATTACTAGTAGTACTATTAACGACATCATCTCATAAACATTGTGCTAAATTAAAGAAGCTGAACATTAAAAAAGTATATAGCGTACAAATCCATATATAAATAAAATATCTAGAAAAATAAAAATAATGACAGAAAGTAATTCAGTGATTGGGTGGGGTCTAAGGTAGGAACTGAGATTCACTGCATAGAGATACTGGGGCTCTTGTAATGTGATGAAATCCATTCTCTAAAAGCAAGTAGTTATGGTTGTGGAGCTGTGTTAAGTTTACTGCAACATACTGAGTGAAACAGTTAAAATAACAAACCATGTGGCATGCAAATTATACAGAAATAAGGTTGCAAAAAAAATGAAAAAGTACTCTCTGTCAGAATGTGGCTTGTACACACAAAGTTCACTGTGTACACACAAACTGCAGTGATTTTTACTTGTAGGACAAAACTTCTTTTTCTTTGGCTTCTTTTTAAAAAAAATTTCTCAGAGTTGTTCATTTTGATACTATTTCAAATAAAGTTTTTGTTTGTAGGTAACATTATATTTGTCAGAACTGTATCATTTTTTTGTTTGTTTGTTTGTTTTAAGGTTTTCAACCAGATGAAGAAATGAGTGAAATCCTCATGACTGAATTTCAAATGAGATTGTTCTGGGGCAGCAAAGGTGCCCAAGTCAATCAGGTGGAAAGATACGAGAAATTCAACCAGATTTTAACTGTGTTGTCAGCTAAACTGGAACCTCCTCTCTAAAGCAGGCAGAGCTTGGACAAGTCTCCGGCAAACCTTCAGATACTTTTCCAGCTTCTCCAGTTCCTTCTTTGGGAAAGCTTATCTTTTGATTAAGCAAAAATCTGACATTATCCAAGATTTTAATATCCACAGGGATATTAAATATGTAAATTACACAGAACATTTATTTATGAATTGTTTAAAATTACTACTGATTTTGAATAAATGCTAATTTATTATTAAGGTAACTATTGCTAATATTGATCAGCACATTCAAGAGAAGGCCTAGCTGTGTTGGCTAGTTTCTTTCTATTGCCACTGTATTTGACCATTTTTAGCTTTTAATTCTATGTCAGATAAATGTAAATAGAAGAGTTTTTTAAAAAGCACATTTCAGAAGGTATCAGTTGTATGATATTCTTTAAAATAAATATGAAAAATGTAAAATCATGAATGAAAATATATCTATTTGTGAATCAATGTGTCCAGTCTCTTCACTATTAAACAGCTTTTGGCAGTACAGTAATTCCACTTCCTCTTCCCTTCTCTAGACACATGATAACCCCACTGCCTCTGAGTTGATTCAGACATAGCTATTCTTAAGGGCAGAGCAGAACTAACCCACAGTGTTTCCAAGACAATCTTTACAGAACCATCATGCCACATCTTTCTTTCATGGGGCAGACATTAGACTGGAATCATAGACCACTTGGACTCCTCAAAAACTAATAAACGACCAAGAATTGAAGGGTTTTTGCTTTATTGACAGTGAATGGTGAGACAAGGTACAGCTGGCTACAAAAGCTGCTGTTCTGTGCCGTTGAGTCAACTACGTCTCATAGTGACTCTCTGAACAATGACTCAGAATCTTGCCTTATCCTGAGCTAACCTGTCTCTAACACACCTGATCCCATTGCCATAGTCACTGTGTCAACGCATCTCACCACGATCTTCCTCTCCTGCACTGACCCTCCACCTTCCAAACATGATGTCATTCCCCAAGCACTAGTCCCTCCTGGCAACATATCCAAAGTATATGAGATAAAGCTTAAAAATCCTTGCCTCCAGGGAACAAGCTGGTTTCACCCTCTCCAGAATATAGCTGTTTGTTCTCTTGGTAGTCGATGGTTAAGTCTGATACTCTTCTCTAGCACCACAACTCAAAGGCAGCAATTCATCTTTTATCATCTTTATTCATTGTTCAGCTTTCAAAAGTATAGCAAAGCAATTGAGAAGACCATGACCTGGGATTCACATTCGTCCCAGTCTTCTCATGGCCTCATAGATGACCACAGCAGAGTAGCTGGTGGATTCGAACCATGTGCCCCTGGGTTGGCAGTGAGGCTCCTTACCACTAAAGCACACTCCTGGTGGCTTAGTGGTAAAGAATTGCTCCAAGGGAGAAAGATGAGCAGTCTTCTCCTGTGAGATTTACTGTCTCTGAAAACCCACTGGAGGGCCCGCTATGAGTCAGTTCTGATTCAGTGGTACACATCATCAGAAAAACACACGTTTGCTTTCAGATGATCTCCAGGTGCAATGCAAATTCCATTCAAATTCCTAACAAGATTCTCCAAGTTACCTGTTAAGTATTTCCTAAAACTTAAATGGCTAGAAATAGTAAAGATCATCTTAGACAAGTAAAAGATTGGAGGAGGAAGGGATCTGGTCTACCAGATATAGTAGCTCATTATTAAGCTTCATCATTTAGGAAATATGTCATTAGAAATTTGACATGACAGTATTTTTCACAAGTGATTCCTGAATGGGTTGAGCAAATGAAAAGGAAAAAAAATAATTCCTTACATCATCATATACCAAATAAAATCTAGATAAATTAATATACATGTGAAAAAACACTTTTGAAAGAAAATATTTTTTTGTGCTTTGAATCAGGAAACTAAGAAAAAAAACTCACTGTGAAAGACATATTAAAGTGACAAAAAATCAGTTATTTCTAATTACTAGTTGCTGTCAACTGATTCTGACTCACAATACCTCCAGGTTGTGACAAGGGAGAACTGGTTTTCAACAGCAGCTTTTTCAGAAGTAGATCCTTGTGCTGTCTTCTGAGGTTAACTCCTGTTTGATTCCAATTTTTCCATTAGCCGCTGAGCACAATATTTGCATCATTTCGGTTGATATTCAAACAAACAAAACACCTCTAACTTGTAGCTGTCAATATGGGATCAACTCATAGTAGCCACTGCAGGGGTGCCCAAGGCTAAAAAACCTAAAAGAGGAGACTGCCCGCCCATCTTTCTATTTCTGAGTCGCTAGTGGATTTGAACTTCCTGAGGCACCACCTTGGGGTTAGTCCAACTTCCAGTGCTGCCAACAGTTCTGATACGAGTTGATCTGAGGAACACATGAAGTTGACCAAAGATCCTTAATGTGGCAGGCAGCCTTCAACACGCCCTCCCCCGGCTGTTCCCTGGTTTTCACCCACAGTGATGAAGGGCATGTGGTAGAAGCAGTGTTAGGCCACATCAAGATACAGTTATAAAAAGGCTGCTGCTACTGTCTTAAGGGTCCCCGTTCTTAAATCCTGGGGGTAGCAAGTTGTCACAATGAATAAATATGAAAAACAATCCACCAGAAAGGAAAAGCCAAAACAAATGGCAAAAAGAAGTTCAACTTAGTCAAAGAAAAACAGAGACACTATTTAACCCAATATTAAGCTTGACTCTTCTGAGTCAGGTGCAGTGTGTGTACCGTTAAATTGGATCTGACTGGTACAGAAGGAGATTGCCCCTCCTTCTCCAGCGGAGCATCTGGTGGATTCGAACCGCATACCTCTGGGATTGCAGTGCAACTTCTTGCCACTAGGCTACCAGAACTCCATAAACGTTCATTTTTATAAAATTTTTATTATTTTGTGTGTGTGTGTGTGTGTGTATACCATTAAATCAGATCTGATACAGAAGATTGTCGTCGTGGTCCCCGCCCTCCAATCCAGCAGAGCATCTGGTGAATTTGAACCGCTCACATCTGGGATTGCAGTGCAGCTTCTTGCCACTAGGCCACCAGAGCTCAACAGTAAGGTGCATTTTAGTCATCAAAATGACATCTTTGCTTTTAACTTTTTTTTTTTAACAAATCTTTTGCAGATTTGTTCAATGCACCTGTACCATTTCATTTGTTGAATTCCTCTTCCATGGACATTATTGGTCCAAGAAGAATCAAATCCATAACAACTTCCAGGTCATTATAATTTATCATGTTGTTTACCAGTCCAGTTGTTAGGCCTTCGTGTTCAGATGTGAGTCATACCACAGACTGTGGTCCTTGACCACCATCAGTAAGTGCTTCAAATTGGCCTTTGACAAGCGAGGCCATGCCACCTGTGTATCTCAAGGTGTTAATGAGTCTTTCTCTCATCTTGACTCAAGAGTTTTTCATGGAGCTCAGTGTCTTAGTTTATGTGTTCAGCATACAAATTTAATAGGTCAAAGAATGTGTTTCCCAATATTAAGCATGCAGCACTCCTTGATCTGATGTAACTACCTATTTTTATCCGTGTAGATGCTCTATAAAGTACAATTATGTGTTTGTGAAGGCCTGCTCTTCCAAAAGTTATCCATTATTTGTTATGATCCACTCAGTCAAATGCCTTCATGAAGTTGATAAAACACAAATATCTCCGTTACCCTCATCTTTTGGCCAAGCTCCACCTGAAAATCAGTAAGAATATCTCATGTTCAACATCGTCTGCTAAATCTGGCTTGAACTTCTGTTCATTCTCTATCAATGTATGAGTGCAGTAATTTCTGTATTCAGTAAAATTTAGTTAGCATGTGACATTGATCATTCATTTCTGCATTCTGTTTTATCATCTTTCTTTGGAATGCACACAAATATAAATCTCTTCCAGTTGGTTGGGCAGGTAGCTATCTTCCAAATTTCAAATCTTGATGAATTAGTGCTTACAGTGCTGCATGTTTGCTGAAGCATCTCAATTAGTGATCCATTAATTTCCAGAGCTTGGGTTTTCTTTTTCACTATCACCTCCTCCTCAGCTTGGACCTCTTTCTTCAGTACCAGTGATTCGTTATCATATGCTACCTCTTGAAATGGCTGAACGTAAACAGGAGGATGAATTAAACAACTGTGTATATATAATGGAATACCAGACACAGTAAAATGGATAAATTCTAGAAACAATGTTGGGGCAGGGGATGGGGGGAGAAGCAAGCCTCAGAAGATATTCAGGCAATATTTACAAAGTGGGATGGTGCTAATAAATATATAAACTATGTGCAAACCAAGCAAAAGAACACTCTGTATTCTCCTAATAAACAACGTAATAAAGCGGATAAACTAAGTAATAAAAGGTATAGCAAAAATCTTTCCTCAATCATCAATAATCTCAAATATCTCGTTTAAACAAACAGCTGGTTTGGTGTCACCTGTTGGCCATGGCTGTCCCCAGCTAAATGAAGCCTTCATGATGGAACAAAGTCATCGGGTTACTTTTCCCGTTGATAGCCATCTGTCCTGTCACCCAGAGAGAGGAGCCACACAGCTCACCTTCATCCCACCTTTCTTCCTGCATCAGAAAGCACAGCGCCAACATGTACGTCAAGAGCCAGAAGCAGGTGCTCCCAGCTGGAGGAAAGAGGGTGGAGAAAGGAAGGGGGCAAAAGGAGTGGGGTTTGCAGATTTTCACTGTCACAGCTGGGAACTTGTTTTTGTCTTTCTCACTCTGTAACCAAGACTGTCCCGCACATAAGCCAATTAGAAAACAATACACATTTGTCAGTCTCAGGAATTTGCTGGATGTCAGTTATGATGCAGGGAAGAGGCAGAAGAGGAAAGAAGGATGAATTAAACATCCAAAACTGACAGGTGTGCTGGGACTCATGCTGGGCCTTGTTGGACGGATGCACTCTATGCAGGGAAACAGTATTCTTACAGAGGTGGAACAAGCAGGTTAATGCCAACATGATTCTTCTGTCTGGAAACCAAACGAGGGAGGAGGAACAAGAACAGAGCAATTGTGCTATCACATACCAGAAAACACATCCTTTGGTATTAAGTGGAGTCCCCATTGAGTTCTTCTTATGCCTCTTCAAAATGCACAAGGCAGCACACTCCTCACAACAAAGTTGTCAAACAAAGCAAAATTTTTTAAAAATAAAATCTAAGAAGCCATTATCAATACTGCACCTTGAAGCAATCACCTTGGTCTCCCTTCCAATCTCCCCCACTGGGCTGCTCTTCAGTCCTTGACTTATTTGGGATGAATAAAGATCTTCCTTGGTTCGCCTGCCCAGCCCACTCTCCCACCCCTGGGCCTTATGACACCAGAGAAGATTCCTCAATACTTGAAATAAATAATAATGCATCAACATAAGCCCATCAACTTTATTTCCACTGTTTAAGCCAGAAATTGGCATCACAAAATATCACATATGGTTTCTGAAATAAACCCTATGTACCAACACATATAAACTTAGTTTCACTACTTTTTTTGAGT